GATAAGTGCTATAGCGCCACTAGACCTTGTTAATCTACTTTTTTTTTTTTTCTTTAATTCTAAAGAATTCCAGGTTGTGGTGGGACCCAATAACTCCATCCATCGAAAAAATCTTTGCTGGTTGTCGCATTTAGCAAATTCCGCAAATACCTCACACAATTTCATTCCGACATCTTATATGGATTGTAAGTTAGTATTTATGTACAGATATCATTTGTTTATTACTCTCATTACTTCATTTTTTAAGAAATCCGCTTCTTTTGATTTTTCGTTTCTCCTTCTATACGAATCCATTAACACCTCAAGCCCTGATTTCAGCAATAAAATTGTTAATCAACTTAAGAAAAAATAAACCATAAATAAATGCAAAAAAAAAAAGAAATTTTGCTTGCAGCTGTCAAGAAAGTAAAGAGATAAATTTATTCATGAAATCTATACATTTTTTCGTTGCCATATTCTGCCATTGCGACCATTACGTAATTAACTATTCAACGTGCTGTCTCTCTTGTGCGTCCCTTCAAGAGACCATTAATACAGTACACACGCGAAGGAGACTTAATTCCTAGTCATTTCTAAATGTTGCAAGATATACCCATGCGTCTTAACTCCAATCATGTCTTAATCTCTTGGACTTTATAAGACGCCTTTACAGAGACTGTCCCAGAGGCTGGACTTTAATACGTCCCTGAACACAGCGGGGATTTGATTGGCTTTTGCTTCGACCCGTTTTTATTAAACTCCGCTAACATTAGTGGATACTTGTATCGAAGGTAATTGAGACAATTTAAAAAGCGTCAAAAAAGGACAGTGACAGATAGTTTATGCTTATATTGCCCAAAGAAGCAAACAGAGACGTAAAGATTAGAGATTCTCAAATATGCCTGAAAATCGTCATGAGATAGATAAAATTTTTGATAAAACGGGCATCCCTTTAACGATAGAAACTAAAATTGGAATAATTTTTTTGGAAAAGTTCCTAGTTAGGTGTAGACACTTTTGGGGGAATGTTAATTCAATTAGGGAAAAAGAGGTATTGGTAACAATTTAGCATACAAGATAAGGCGACTGTAACCAAAGACTCGCATAAATTACACAATATTACCATTACCACAAAATCGCTTGGCAATGAAAAAAAAAAAATCGTGCATAAAATTATAAAAAATCATTCCCCATTTTGATAGCACACGTAAAATTAAGATGTAGATAATATAAGCAGTGTTGCGGGAGCAGTCTAGAAAGATATTCCTATATGAGCATTGCGGCAGCCTTTTAAAAGGCAATAACAATTGCTCCGAAAACAATTATTGCGGCATCAAAAAGTATTAAATGAAGACGAGAATGTTGAGAAAGTATTTTATTATCTGAATTAAATTTTGAAAGTTAATAATTTTAACACGAAGAACGATAAAGAAAACACGTCCTATCCTTTTCCTGTTCACAAACGCAATAAGCTAACATTAGCACGTAGTGGTATAAATTTGCTTATACATAAAATAAAGCAGTCAGAGTTGCATTAGCAGTCTATAAGTGGTCATCGCCGACTTGCCAGCAAAGCTTTTTTACCACACATGTAGTAGCGTTACTACTAACCGAGTAGGGCTATTACTATCCGACAGACCACAGTTCTTATTCGAAGTCGTCTGAGTTCTAACTGACCGAACGGCAACACTGAGATTGGTAAGAAAATGTTTTATCCCTAAGCCGCGAGTAAACTGTTCATAGTGAATCATAGCCAGGAAACATTAAACTAAAGCTTTACTGAAATGAAAGAAATTATGAGTTTCTGAACATGAAAAGAATATTCGCTTTAAACATCGCAGTTGAACAATATCATCGGATACGAGTTCTCGATCCTAAGATTTGCAAAAACAAGCAAATAATAATCAAAGCAGACTAGGGAACTTTTTACCATTTTGTATTAAATACGGCGTTCCTTGATTGCAACAATTTCTTCTTACTCGACAGACGCAATTACCAGACTTGCCTTTCTGTCGTAACCCATAACGTTAAGGGTTAAGCAAACGGTTATATTATGATTAAAGCTTGTAATTTAGAAGCCGAAAACAACTTTCATATGTGATCCGCATATCCCATATTTAATTATAGGTATTATTAGTTGGGTCAATTGTTACGCAAAGTCATCGAAATACCAAATTTCACAGGACGGAATTTTGTCGTGCTGGCCGTCCTTTTGGGATATCTGGCCTAATACGTACGCCAGTGAGCGCGAAAATGAGAAGGCGAAAATACGTCTCAAATCCCACTCAACTAAGAGAAAGCGGATATGAGAACATTTCAGCTAACCGTTAACAAATCGCTTCTCTTCCTTTTTCCAGTAGAAAGCTACAAATTTATAGTTAATAGATCTTTGCTTTCGTAACGGCCGCTCGTTAACAAATAGTATTGCAAAGCAATTAAAGACAATGCATCGCAGTGCAGTTATTATCGATGTATTTCCACATAAATTCTTTTACTTTAATCGAAGTCATTTTATGAAAATCTCAAGTAATTATTTAATTAAGTTCTTTTGTTTTCCTTTAATTTAATTAAACTTGTCAAACTATCACAAACTTTTGGATTGGTTTTTTTTTCTTTTTTTTTTTCATATATGGTATGTTTTGTTTTGTTTTGTTGGATAGTTTAGTTTTGGAAACCGGACTGAATTCATTTCTTTGTCGAAATTTACGAAAACAACAACAAAATTTTAAAATTCAATTTAGAACAACAAGTAAGATAACTACGTCTGCCTTAGAGCGAATCTTGATAATCACCACTTGAATTCAAAATAAATGAAACTTTTCATTTTAAAAAATAGTAAACGTTGTTGTTGTAAGCCATTTTCGCCACAAAAAAAGTTGGAGTTCTGTTACTACAAAGTAATGCATTACAATCATTAAAATTACAGGATTGTAGCACACAGTTGGGTTTGTCATTGACGTACGGATCGGCAATCCCATTAGCAATTATTGTTGAAATACAACACATGCTGTACAACTTAAACAATGGAAAAGGCAGTAATGGGTCGGGGTTCAACATAAAATACCCTAAACCATCTCGCAGTTGTTCATACAACGAATACTCAATGTAAGGCGTTATATGGGAAGTGCTCCGATTCGAAGCATTTCCAATCGCCCTCGCGCTGAACAACTTTCCTGAAAATTTACGGCCTGTAAGTTTGAAACAAGAAAATAAGTCGAACAGACTGACAGCCAAGCTCTGATCGATTCAAAATCAATTTCTGAATCAATTGATTTAATAAAAGGTGCCTTTGTACCGAAAGTGCTATCGGATATGAGAACGTAATTAAATACTTTTATATTCTTCACTGTCTTAAACTTCATAAAGTAATGAAGTTGTCTGTTGTTGTTTAAATATAAAATTGCATTACTACACCATTTATACACCGCATCGACATGAGAGCCTCTGGTTGATCTAGTCTTGCTCATTACACCACCCCTCTGCCGATGGCACTCTAAAGTTCACTTATCATTTGCAGCTTATGAATGAATATATTATTAAATCCAAAAATGAACTGATTAAACGTTGTAATGTTCTTATCTTACCCATTCATTTTTTAGGAGGATTAGAGAGCAAGTTCAGATATACTTTAACGAGTCCTGCGGTTGATTATGATAAAGTTAACATAATCTAATTGCGGGTATCAGAGACCGCTTTATATAAAGTTTTTGAGAGTTTTGAGTCGAGAAGCATTTTAAAGCTGTGAATAAATTTGGGCATTTTCCTGGCCTACATACGAACCCCATTAAAGAAGGAATGTATTTGAGAGATTTTTGTTGATAGTCCCTACACCCTTCATCACTCGATCTCCAAGTGTGCCGGTGTATAAGCACCCAAAAGCACGTGAGATGCACCAACCCTACATTCTACCGCTTGATTCAGAAAAACTTTGTAAATCGACCTAAACTTGTCTGTGCGTCCGTTAGTCTTGTATTCTTGTGTTTAACTCGTAGATCGCAATTTTTACGATATTTTGATGAAATTTGATACACCGGTCGATTTTGGTCCGGAGTGAACCCGCATATAATATCTTATCTTGACAAGTCGTTATGTGAACAACGATACTGAGCGAAGTGGTGTAAGGTATTGAATGTTTTTCTTTGTTTTATCAGCTCAGGTAATAAAAAATGCGCAAAATACGAACAGAAAGAGCGAGAGAAAGCGTTGAGAAAATCTCACTATCCTGATCGGACAAGTTTGGCTAGCTTCAAGATATGTGTAAGATGGAAGACATCGTAGTTAGTTTAAAAAAAGTAACCACAGTCTGTAATAAATTTTCAAAGAAAAAAAGATAAATTTTTACTGGCGAATTGCGTGTAAGCTCCTACTTGCTAGACAATTACATTCGCTCTCCCACTTATGAAATTTCTTGCTTTTGTAAAAGTCGCTGTTTTCAGTTTTTGTTTTCGCTTTTCCAACCGTCGCTTAATAATTATGCACAAGTAAGCCAAGCAAGTGTACATAATCTGTTTACATATTTAATTTATTTTTAATATTATTATTATTATTATTATTTTAATTTTATGTTTTTCATTATAACGTTTTGTAGCTACTCGGGAGAGTTTTTGTTTTGTTAAACTTTCCCCATATTATTATTTTTTTTTTTTTAAATTTTTTTTTTTTTTTTTTTATCAAAAACATATAAACTAAACTCAAGTAAACACCGCTTTCAAAAATACTATTCAATGTAATGCTAAAAATGAATGTAAACTCGCTTAAATACACTCACTTAGTTCTGTAAGTGTGTTAGTATATATTGTATAGTGTGTATATAATAATTTAAATACTTGTTTATTTTCTCTGGGAAATATGCGAGTAACCGTAATTAAACACATACGCACGTATATATACATACGTACATATGTTGAAGGGCTTAGTTTTTCATCTGTTTCGCGGCTAAGGTCTAGAGTATGGTTAGGTATACACGGGGTATATACATATAATTACTGTTTCATGATAGATGAAAATGTATGAGAACTTACCTCGTCCTTGCCTTTAACGACACACATTTTCTGATCGTCTTCTGGCGAATACCACACCAAACGCTGCTGTTCGTTCAAATCGTGAATACTTAGGTTATATATAATATTTCTGCAAAGAAAGGAATAAAATAAATGTTAAAAACATATGTGTTTCATTATAAATATTTGCTTAAAAGTTTATTAATACAGAGAAAGTTCTGTTCGTGTCGTTCGTATTTTGTTTTTGCAAGCAAGTCTATTTATAACGAAGTCATTGTATAATGGAAAAACTATTCAAATATAAAGTATGGCATGTAACTGAGAAAATTGCTGCATGAAACAGGGCCACGAGTTCATTTTGTAACTTAGTTAGAAATTAAGGACTGTGTCTTCTTATTTCCATATTTACGACTTGGCTATGTGGTGTAGAAACACCTTCATTTCACCTCAATTAATTCGTAGGGCGATATATAGACGTCGCCACTGTTGACGAATTCATATGATTTTGGGATGGGATCAATATTTAAACGAAATATATAAAAATTTCATAACAGCTCCACTGTTGGTTTACAATTTAAAATTGTTTGAGCGACGTTGTTTTGTAATTTTCAAAACAATCGAAAAATCTGAATTTCGTATGTTGTTCAAGCATTGCTTTGGCCTCTATGTTCGTCGAAATGAATGGTAGAGCAGAGGTGTGGATATGTAAACACAGCTGATGCGATGAACGCTGTAATCGCCCGAACCCGACAGTTCTTCCGGGAAGCATAAATAATAGTGCACAAAATCGTTTTGGTAGACTAAAAATGAAATTGTGTAACATAGCTTACACCTTGAAGATATCAGACGGCAGTGTGTTCACTATTTTACATCAACATTTATGATACCTTTATGAAAAAGTGAGAAGGTTATAGCGCCTGGTATAATATACATGTACTATCTTGAAAAGGGACAAAGGCTCAACAGCATTATTAGTTCAGCTGAATGACGAAATTGTAGAAAGCGAAACTAAATCCTGCTAATTTTTGCGGTAAGTGATACACTATTTTATGAATATTGCGGTAGTGTCACTTCTTGATTCTTTGCAAAATGTGATCGCCGGTCAATTCGTTTTACACCAAAAAATGTTGTGTCCGATGCCTATTTCTACGGACTATAGACATCTGACAATATTAATGTATTTCCCGTCGTAACTGTCTGTAATGAATGTAATGCATTCGTTGCAATAACGGCTAAAATAAATGTTCAAAAGGCAAACTTTTATGCCCGCAGAACACAAAAGTTTGCAGATAGATGAAGAAAGCCCAAAGATCAACGCTTTTAGCTTAGCAGCTCTTGATACGTACAAGTTCGATGTTTGGGTTTGAATTTTGCCTAAATTTGTTGGTCTACTTTTTAGAGCTTCTCCACTATGTTCAACAAGTTTTGTGTGGTAAAATTATAAATATTCGAAATGAACATCAGATATACAATACAAATTTATATGCTATTATGTTCACAATTATGTAGACATATATACATATATATATATATATATGTATAAATATAAATGTACCATGAACGTGCATAGGTGTATATGAATGTGCATGGAGATTTTTCATCTGCTTTTATTGATCAGAAACAATACCCAGTACGGCCGAGGTGCTGCTAAATAAAAATTCAAATGCTAATTAAAATTGCGCGCATGCACACTCAAGTTCCTGTGAAAGTGTGTAAAATATGTATCAAAGAAATTATTGCCTGCTTAAAATAACCAAATAACACTGAAACGCACATGTTGACGCATTCTCTACCGCACCACGTAACATTTACGCGTAGCAATAGCTTTGTGCATGAACGCAAGCATACATACACATACATATATAAATAACGAAGCAATAGGGGTGAAAATTTAAATGAAATAACAGCATAAAAGCATAAAATTGATGTGATTTGCTATGCAGATGCATTTAAAACTAAAGCGAACGCATCGCACGAAAGGAAAATACGGACTAAAATACAATGAGGTAGAGGACTAACAAAGCCGTGTGTTAAATAAAAACCACAAAAATGAAAAATAACAACATAACAACAACAATAGCATAACGGTTAGACCGAAACTGTGCGGTTGTTGGAGCCACACAAGTGCACTCACTCGTGCACGGCACGAGTATATACATACATTAGAAAATGTATATATGTAAACGATTTTACCCTACAGCATTAGTACTGTTTACGAAACTATTCTTTAAGCAGATGGACTTAGAACATTATTTTAAACTATAATTGTATAATTGACTAATTGGTCATTCCTTTACAATCTAATGAATGGCAGAAAGGTCAATTATTATTCAGAAATATTTAAGAAACAAAGCTTTCCTGGTATTAAGCAGGAGTAGGGAAACTAAAAACTAGATCTGAAACACAGTTTAACAAAGATACAATTAGTTAGTAACGCCTTGATAGTCAGCCTAGGCCGACCTTTAAATAGGTTACAATGATTGGTAATTTTATACAATTTTTTCATTCATTTTCGTGATAAAATCCATTTACGGTAAAGGGCTCAAAAGCCGAACGGGTATAGCCCAAATTTAGTAAATTTAACGTATCTTACGAAACTGTAACATAAAGTATTATACGTTCGATTTTTTACCAGGTTAATTTTCATGAGACTCCTCATATGAGATGGGTTTCAAAAAATAGAACCACCTGGTCCAAATTATGCCAAATTACTATTACCGATCATTTTTCATCACCATCATCTTTCATTTAAAATTAGACCTTGTTCTCATATAAAGTCCGACCTTTTGCTGGAAGAGTTATTTTAAAACCCGTTGTAAAAATTGGCCCATTCGAGTCCTCAGTTTAGTATGCCGAAATATTATTACTATTTTGAAAATCATAAATTTTCGTCGTTTAACAAATTTTTCAAAATAAGACGTTACACAGGAAATGGTCATAAAAAAGTGGGGTCAAAACACTTTAGAATATGAAATTTCGTAAAATGTTTCAAAAATTTGCAAACTCAGTTCAAGGAAGAAGGACATTAGACAACGGACGAACATAGACAAACATACAAGGGTAAATCGTTAAAAAATTGATTTTGAATTGAGCGTTATAACAGAAATTGGATCCATCCATGTTCTTAAGTTCTCCTAGTTGCAATATCTATCCGTACAAACTCAATACAACTTGCATAGCAGGAGGTTTAGGATATAACAAACGATAAAAGGTGTATCTTCTACACGTCCACGCAAGCTCAATGCACCTCGTACAGCAAGCCGCTTGGGATGTGAAAAGTACAATTCAAAGCATATTACAATATGAAAACTTCTTCCACAAATGATTTCCATAAACTAACTTTCATACATGCTATTATCATGAGACTGTGTTTCTCTCCTTCAAGTGATAGGTGTCAAAAATTCGACTTAAAATTGGATTAAGATTTCTTATTCTCGTTTGCGCGGTTATTTCAACATGAAAGAACAAATTGCTATTGTGTGTGTATTGTTAGGAAATCGAAAAAACTCCGATTCTATTCAAAGGTCGCCTAACAATTTTCTCTTTTTAGTTTACATTACTTTGTACACTAGTGTATGTGTGAAAGTGTGCGGTTTTTAAAGGTTAGTTGTGTATATGTTAAGCTTATGAAATATTTATATGTTTAGCTGTGTTTTGGTTCATAGAAGTGTGTACATAGAAACCCCTACAATTAAAATGACACTGATGAGTTGATGCGAGGTTATCTAACGAACTGACTGTTTGCCTGTTTTATACATATATATATATATATTTATATATTTATATATATATGTATATATATTTATATGTATATATATATATATATATATAACAGGTGCACGTTCGTACGAAAGTAAACACATATGTATGTATTGCACACGTAGAACATTCATAAATGATTGTTTGTTTGTTACGTACTTGTTCGTTAAAAACAAACTTATATTTAACTATGTTTTCATTGTTCGTACACAGATATATATATATATATATATATATATATATATATATATTCGCGTATGTGTATCACATCATAAGTGAAACAATTTAGACCGTCAGCAACTTATGAAACTTATTTTAGTAGCTGCTGTTGTTTTCAAAGTACTTAATGTTGAAAATGCTTACCAAGCTACTAAAGACGAACCTCTGATATGTTTCATAAGTTTTTATTCGCATTTAATAGTTGAAGAAGGGCTAGTATACGTCGTTAAACAGTTTAAGTTCAGAGAGTCGTTATTTACGGTCAATGACCTCGCACCGGAACAAAATCAACGGCCAAAACATATGATGACAAGAATGACATAAGAGAAATTATGCTCTTAATAGCTACCACCAACTTGCAGTACGAAAATTACATTTTTAATAATAATAACGCATCGTGTGTACGCTATTGTCGTCGAGGCATGTGTATGCAAGTGTACAATATTTAAACGGAAGGTAGAACGAAGATGCGTTACACGATTTGTTCATTTGTACGACGTCTTAGAAGTATTTTTCCGAATTGAAAGCCGTGGATTATTCGATTTTTTAATTCGATGTGGACTTGGCAAGCATAAATATGCCTTGCATTTAAGAGTTTTAAAATAAAACAACGCTTAGCAAGCGGCATGAATAACATATTACTCTCGCCACTAGCAATAAAGTCAACACGTTGGGCTCGTCATTTTTAAAACAATGGGAAAATCAAAATCAATAACTACTTTATACAGAGGCAGCTCGGAATTCCGCACAGCGATCCCGATGTCTCTTAATTATATTAGGACGGGACGGGGTCCCATCATCTACTACATTTCGTAAATACTGTTCTTCTTACTACTTCATAATTTCCCCAGGATTGGATGCTCAACAAGCTTATTTCTATTAACGCTCCTCTTTCCACTCACGCTGGATAACGGCGTAATCGTAATATCAAAATATCTGATAAGTATATTGAATATGTGGAGTCTATGCAATTTCTTGATAGACAATCGATGACATATCTAATTATAGGTTACATATGGATAACATTCTTGCAAAAGTTCATGTGACATTTAGAAGGTTCTACAATCTTAATGTTCATCTACCACTTTGGATCAAACTCAAATCCTCTCAGACACTTTTAGTGCCACATATTAATTACCGTCTTGAAGCTGT